CCAGGAGGGACAAGGCAGGGAGGTAGTACCCACTGTTCTTTGCAGAAGATAAAGGAATTACCAAACCCAGGTGCTGGGAAAAGCCACAGGGTCAGGTGAGTGATGATGCAGCAGTCCCCCCGATCAAAGGGACAAAGCCAAGAAAAGACACCTGCCAAATGGGCCAGCACTTCTGGGGTCAAGATCCCGGCCAAGGGGACCTACTCCTCCCGAAAGCCAGTGCAGGGAACCCACTGTGCCTCAACTCCACCAGAACACTGGCACAGAGATCAAACAAAGTCATCCGTGGGGTGGGCGGGCAGCAAATGTGGTCAAGACAGTACAGGCTCTGGACAGGACCGAGCTGAGCCTGAATCCGACTCTGCCATTTCCTAGCCATTTGGAGCCCTGGGCAAGTTCATTAACCTCTCTGAGCCTGTTTCTGACCCTGTGAAATGGGGACAAATTGTATAACTCGGAAGGATTGTTAAAAGAAAGCAGAGCACAAAGCATCTGTACAGCACGGCGTCAATCTCTTAATAGGTCCTCACCAGACAGTAGGTGTTCAATTAAATACGTGTTGACTGTATGGACGCTTGGAAAGTAGCAACAACACAAAGATGTCAGCAGCTGCCGCCACCAGAGCTGCCTGGCTCCCCTTAATTCAGGCCAGAGACGGCTCCCTCTCTAATTTTTCTGAGCCCAGAGCAGGCATCCCAGCTCACAAACAAACCGGAGTCTGCATGAACACCTGGAGTGTTTTGACACAGACAAGACAAAAGTTTAGTTGTTGGTTTTTTAAAACCTTGCTGGGTCCTCGGTTTCCTTTGATGGTCGCAGATTTTTCTCTGCTTCCAAAACTACACGAGTTGCACAATTAACCCCGATGGTTCTCCCTACACACAGAAAGCAATGAGGTCTAGACCTTGTCCGAGGAGTAAAGGCGGACACCCCGTGGTTCCAGAGATGGGGGACCAGAACAGACAACCACTGGCCCTAGAAGCCAGGAGATGGGCTCTGCCCAGCGCGGTACTCCTGCCCAGGGACAGCAGGAGAGATGAGGCAGGGTCTTGTCGACCCTGGAGCAGAGAGACCCTGGCACATGGCTGACCACCAAACAAACTAGAGCTCGACACAGGGAACTGTCAGATGCAACTTCCTGGGCCAGGTAACTCACAGGTGAGCAAACTGCAGTGAAGGCATGCAAGGTGACATCGGGCCTTTGCCTACTTAGTGGGAAAGAGGCAGGGGGACGGCAGGCAGCCATGGAAAGCCGAGGATCAGAGGAATAAAAGAAGGAAGGAAAAGATGCTCCTGCCCCAGGCATGAGCCAACCTCTTACTACCTCTTCTCAGCTTGGAAGGGGCCCCATTGGGAGAACTGGCATGATGTGAGCCAGCCCCTTGCCCTCAGGAGTGTAACCACGTGCTCTGAATGACACAGCAGGGGGCTCCCGGGTCTCCGAGGCCCCACGTGGATGCGAGCCCACCAGGAGACGGGGCTGAGCAGGACCAGAAACGGCCAAATCTGCACACGAGCCGGTACAGCAACTACTTCTTTCCAGTGTTTCCCCTAGATTTGCTCTCTGTGAGCAGAACTGAAGGGAGTTTCCTATTCTTTTATTTTTACTTGTTTCCTGGGGAAACTATAAATGAGCAATTAAATGGGAGGATGGGCAAAACAGGGGGCCGGAGAGCCGGCTTCCGAATAAAAGAGAACCCTGTTCACTAGCACACCTCCTCATTTCCACTTAAAAATAATACCAATAAAAATAAGCTCTCGGAGGTCTTAGGAACTCCACCTCCCCTAATCAAATCCTTTTGATCATAACCAGGTGAAAATAGAACCAGACCCTTCTGTGTGCACAGCACTTCACAGTTTGCCAGTATTTGCGGGCACATGATGGCACTTGCCCCCACAATCCTGAGAGTCAAGCGGGCAAGGATACGTGGATATGTGTCCACACCATTAGAAGATGGAAGTCGGGACTCAGAGACGGTTAGTGACCTGCCCGAGGGCACACAGCTGGTAGGGCTGGGGCAGGGACTCAAATATAGGAGCTCAGTCTCAAAACTGGGAGCTTTGTCTGTACTGCCTCTCCCATCCCAGGGAAAACCCATCTTGGGAACTTTGCTTTCTCTGAATTGGCCACACTGAGTACCGTTGCCGAGCGCCAGACTGAAGGCATAGACCAGACAGGGCCAGAGAGGAAGGGAAGGGGGACAGAGCTGATCCCCAAGATATCTGTAATGAAACCTCCACTGCAGATCATTGCTCTAGAGGCCCCGGCACATTTTGTTTGCCCTTTCTATTTTTAGAGCCACCTCCCTACAAACTTTTGTTTTGCCAGGTCATCTTCTTCCTGCCTTTCCTTTCTCCTGAACGGTTCCATAATCCATGGGCCATTTTGTCAAGCTCAGGGAGTTGCTGTAGAAATGATTCCCGAGGTTATAAACAAGGGACCGGTGACCTCGGTGGGGGAGAGACAAAACCCAGCCCCCGAGCCAGATGTCACACGCCTTGGTCACAAGTCACAGTAGGAGAGACCCGGGCACCCAGCTCTGTGGTCTTCTCCTTTTTTGACTTGCTCCTCTGGCCAGGAAGAGTCAGAGACTCTATCACCAGCCTGCTAGACCTTCTCCTCATTGTGCAAAAGGTACCGGGGCCTGAAAACCCAAACCACAGTCAATCCAAGAACCGTTTGCTTTCGGCTGTGGACCTGAGTCCCAGGAGAACACACACACACACACACACACACACACACACACACACACACACACACACACACACACACACACTGCTCCTTGAAAGCAGAGACTGTGTCTTACTCACTTCAACCACTGACCACCCCCCCAGGCCCATGTCACTCTTATGCCGTGTACTGCAAACTAGGCAGGTCCTCCCTCAAGCAGTGCCTGTCTCCATAGAAATGACAAACATAAATAACCACAATACAAAGCAGGATGAGACCACGGAGGCCTCAGGACTTAGCCGAGAGAACACCGCGCCAGGTGCCTGGGATCCTGGGTTAGAGTCCCACCTTCACATGTGACGCTGGACTTCTCCGAGTCTCCCTTTGGGTATCTATAACATGCAATTTTGATCTTTAAGTTTCCTTCCAGCTAAGATATTTACGTTTTTAAGTGTTTTAAGTTTTAAGAGTTTTTAAGTGCTCAAACTCAGAAACAAAAAGGATGGAGATGAACAGGGAGACCAGAGGCCAGTTCCTTGCTGGTTTCCCAGGGGGGCACATTTGTTCCCTGGATCTCCACAAGCAGGGATGTCTGTGTGGGGGTCGCCCTCCCTGGTGCCCGGCCTACCTTTACATGAGGGACTAGCACCAGTGCAGGAGCTGAAAAAGAGGCTCGGGGTAGCTCAGAGTCAGCCGTGGCATCTGGATGAGGGCAGTTCCTGACCTATTTCCTGCTCCGGCCCTCCTCTAAGGAGAATGCCTGAGCCCAGGGCAGAGCCTGTGAGAAGGAGCCCCAAGGGACTCACCTGCCCAGCACAACCGGCCCTATTCTCTCCAAGAGCTCCCCGACTGAGCTCCGGATGAGAAAGCCCAGGGCTGGAGGCTGGGCAGTAGCCCATTCCCCAAGCCCCAGCAAACCCTTCCTCCAGCTCCACCGACTTCAAACCAGGCCCCTGAGAACAATGGTGAAGACTCAACTTCAAAACATGTAAGTGATTCAGAGTGGATGAAGCCACAGATGAAACCAGCCTCAGGACATGGCCCCAGACGTTTCCAAAGTCACTTCCAAATACTACAATGAAAACAGCTTTTGAAATGTGGCTTCACAGCGAATCCCAGAGAAATAAGAACAGAGCGTTCTCTGCCTTCTAACAAAGCTCCGTCCTCTTCTGGCATAAAACTGATAGAAACCAGCACGAGGGCCCTCGATTGTCCAGTACCGTGCGGGCAGGGGGGTGGGACAGCCGCCTGCACCCCTGCACACACTGTGGGCACGCTAACCCGGCCCCCTGGCTGCCCTTCCCGAAGCTTCCATTCGCGCCTCCTCAGCCCACCGATGCCTGAGGACACGTTTTCTCACAAAGTCTCTCTCTGTTGTATTTAACGCCGCCCCCCCCCGGCCCCCGCGCACAAGGTCCTGTCCTTAGCAACTGACAGAGCCAGAAGATAACTAGGCTAACGGCGTGAAGGGGATGATGATGATGCTGACGATGCCACTGTAAGCCAAGACAAGCGCTGAGCCGTACAACAAACACGACCTGAGCCGCAGCCTGTGCAGGCAATCAGGACTTTTGAAGTCACTTTTCCAGGACCTGCAGAGGCCAAGGAAGAGTCACGCCGCGGGGCCAGGGAGTCAAGGACGCCCAGGGGAAGCTCCGCGGGTCACGTGCTCGCCGGAGCCCTGAAGTGCGCTCGGCCCCGCTGACGTAACTAGTCGAGAATTTAAAAGTCCCTAACTTGGAGGAAATGCAGTGCGGTCTTATGGCTCATCCACGCGCCGCCGTGGACCGCCGGGGGTGACCCCGCGCCACCAGGTGGCACCGCTCGAACTCTGAAGGAGCCCCCAAGGGGGTGGCGCAGAGCCGGGCCACGGGCGGGGACCGCGGTCCCGAACCCCAACTGCAAGCGGAGACTCCATCTATGGGCGGGGACCGCGGCTCCGGGCACCGACCCCAACAGCGGGCGGGGACCCCAGCTAGGGCGAAGACCCGGGCACACGCGCAGACTCCAACCGCGGGCGGAGACCTCGACCCTGGGCGGGGACCCCAGCCGCGGGCGCGCACCCCGAACGGTCTCACGGACGGAGCGAGCCTCCCCGGCACACGCCCCGGGCCCGCCAGCTGCCCCGCAGACACACTCCTCTGCCAGCAGGGGACACAAATGCGTGCCTCGCCTCTCTCCTGCCCTTAGCCAGTGCCTCCTGGGGAAAGATCAAGTGAGCTTCGGCTATCACTTCTAGCACGCCTTTGTCTGGCGGCCAAGGTCCTGGGGACGCCCGTCTCCTCCCTGACCCCGGACGCCCGCCCGCCGGTGGCCGCGGCTCACTTACCGGCCCGGGGCGTTCGCGGATGGCTCGCGCGGAGTCGCCTTCCTTCGGGGACGCGACTGCCAAAGAGCCCCGAGCGTCTGAGTTGCCCGAGCCGAGCGGCGGCGCGCGGAGTCCACCCCCCGGCCGGGCCCGGCGACGCAAACTTTCCCGGGGCAACGGCGCGGGGCGGGCGCGGGGGCGGCGCGGCCCCCCGAGGGTCGGGCAAAGTTGCAGCACAAAAGGCCAATGACTGGGAGCGCGGCGGCGGCCGGGCCAGGCTCCTCCCCCAGCTCTCGGCGCTCCGAGGGCCCGCGCGCAGCCAGCTGCTCGCGCAGGGCGCCCGCCGCGCTCTCCTCCCGGGCCAGGAATGCGCGGGGCCGGCGGCGGCGCGCCCGGGAGCCCCGGGGCCCCGGCGGCCGCGCAGCCAGCCGGGGACGGGCGCAGCCTGACCCCCGCCGCAGCGCCGCCCCGCCGCTGCTCCCGAACGCACGGCGGGCTGCTTCCAGGAGTCTCCGAGGCATGACCACTTGTTACAGGTCTGAGTTTTTCCACGCGCTTCCCACTACGCGGGGCAACCGCGGGGAAGGCACCGTGCGAAACGCGGGAGGCCAAGCGCGGGCCATGTGTCCCAACGCGGCGATCCACACACGCTTGGGAGTGGGGAGCAGGCCCCCCGAAAAGAAGGTGGGGGCGAAATGGTGCCGCACTAGTTCCTGGAGCCAAATTCTGACTCTTCCTTCTTCCTCTGCGTCGACCTAACACTGCTTCACCACAGAGCCTTAGACTGCGCTGTGCTCTACAGTTTGCAAAACTTGATGTGCCTTCTCCTGGGCTGCTGCACCCTCTGAAGTAGGCAGAGACTATAAACCCAAACCGCTTCCCGCTGCCATATTTCCAGGGAGCCTGTTTCTATCTGAAGTTGTTGACTTTATTTTTTTCCCTTCTAGGGCCCCACATCAACTCCTCTGCTAACATCGACCTCTTACCCAGAAGTGGCGCTTACCTGCCCCTGGTCCCACTGCAAGGTATCACCTTTCCTCGGGCTATTTCTGCAGCTAGGCAGAAAGAAGAAGGAAAAGAACTAAGAAGAGCCTGTGGCTGTATGTGGATGCCAGGCTTCCTATTTTAAGTTTGGTTTCAAGAAAGCTTTGCTATATTTTATATGCAGGGGCCAAAGGGCCAGAGACTCACAAATGACTCAACGCTTCCTTTCTTCCTCTTAAAGAAACACGCCCAAGTCTTAATGGCCCTAAATGAGAATTCCATGAAGAATAAAGAAATTTACTTCTATTACCTTCCACTAAAATTTTTTTTTAAACACCATGCTTCTAAGAGCCACATTTCTGATAGACATTTCAGTCGATTCCTTGTTCACAATGAGTATTAATGGACCCATTTCACAAATGTGATACTGAGACCAAAATAGGCTAATTTGCTTAAACGTATACCATCCGCTGTTGGTACAGTAAGAACTGGAATGCCCAGGTTTTCTTTTTTTTTTTCTTTTCTATGTCCTGTGCCCTAACTTCCAGGTCATGCCCATCTACGGTCAAAACAAAACAAAACAAAACAAACAAAAAAACCCCACTGTCTACCTTATTAAGCTCAAACACTCCAATTAAGCCAAGAACAAAGATGCATTTGCGGTGCCATCCCTTTCGCTTGCAACAGCCCCTCCTTGCTGGATGCATATCTGTCATGACAAAGGAAGCTACTGCTATGCTTTGAAACCCACTGGTGTGGTCAGCCGGATGATGTCCCCCCACTGAGGATGTCCACAGCTTAATCTCCATGGTCTGTGAATATATTAATTGACAAGGCAAAGGGGAATTAAGATTGTAGATGGAATTAAGGTTGCTAATCCTCTGACCTTAAAATAGGAAGATTATCCTAGATTATAGGTGGACCCCATGTAATCACCAGGGTCCTTTGAAGTGAAAGAGGAAGAGACGAGGTCAGGAAGAGAGGAAGCAGAGACAAAGAAAGATGTGAAGATGCTGTGCTGGCTTTGAAGGTGGAGGAAGGGCACCGTGAGCCAACAAATGTGGCAGCGGAAAAAGTAAGGAAATGGATTTTTCCCTCCAGCTTCCAGAAAGGAACACACCCCTACTGACACCTTGATTTTAGTACAGCAAGACCCATGTCAGATGTGTTACCTGCAGAACTGTAAGAAAATAAATTCGTATTGTCTTAAGCCACTCACTTGGTGGTAATTTATCACAACAGCGATAGGAATTGGATACAGTAGGTATCTGGTTACTACCATGAATGACTCTTCTTTGAAGGATTTTATGAAAGTATCTTGGATTCTAGGAATAGAGACATAAGAGCCTAAGATCACTCATTGCCCCCAGCCCTTCTCCAAGGCATCTCCATACTCAGTGCAGTGGGGTTAGGTAGCCAGCAGGCACACGGAGCCATGGTCCAGCGTAGGACATACTCATTAAAAGATGAAGTCAAGAGCTCCCAACATCACAGGGGATTGAAAGTCAAATCCCGCTCCCTGAGGGGGGGGGATGCATCCACACCGAAAACTCTCCGCCGACCCACCCAGCTCTGGTCCCAACCACAGCCAGACACGCTGTCCAGATAGTAAACCTGAAGCTACAGTAAATATGCATGGCCTGTCTCTTCCTGCTCCGGGTCAGGGTAACACCACACTGCTGATAGGAGGGGAGATGCGTGTTTGTGCCCTCTGGCTTGGGACCCATGGAATCTCGGGGAAAAGACTGAATCACAGGCAGGAAGCATGTGCCTTAGTAGTTGCATCCACGACTGAATCTTCACACCGTAAGAATTTCTTGGGTCTGAGGACAAGGCCAAGGCCTCAACAGAAATGTAATCTGTATGAGTGTTGTCTGCAATACGCTAGCGCAGTCACTGTTAAACTGTCTTCTGGAGTCCTGGGGTTTTTGGAGTGACCATAAAGGCTGCCCAGGAGGCACCCGTTAGCATCTGTAACCACAACAATTGCACTTTTATGGGTCATACCTTTGGGTTCCGCATAAGACCTTGTTTGGAGCAAAGGTTCATTTGGAGAGAAGCGGGGGAAATGAAAATGTGCAAACGCTGCTTTCTGGGAAAGAATGTGTGCTGTTGGGCTCCTAGATCCCAACCTGAGTCTCAAGGAGAGTGACACACCCCATGTCAAAGGCTGCATAGTGACACAGCAGGTGTCTGAAAGGAGATTTTTTTAATGTAAGTAGAAAGAACAGTATAATGAACCCTATGTATATTACCTAGTTTCAATATTATCAAATCGTGGCCAATTCTGTTTCATTCACATTGCTCACGTCCCCACTGCTACCCGGATTATTTTGAAACAAATCCTAGATATCATCATTGTATCAGTTAATATTTCTGTTTGAATCTCCAAAAGGCAAAGGCTGGGAAGAGAATTTTTGAAGGCTAACTATTTATTTTTTTGCTCTCGCAGGCTCCCTGATAAAGGACCAACTACAATCTGTAAATATTAATGAGAGACAACCACAAACACCAGACCCACGGTCTGAAACTCAGTGCACATTAAGACTCACTGGGTTATTGTTAAAATGCTCCCAGAGATTCTGGTTCAGAAGGCCAGGAAAGGGGGGTTGGTTCTCAAGAACGGACATTTTAGCAGCAAGCAGATTCTGGTTGGAGATGCTTTCCAAACCACACTTGGAGAAACTCTGAAACTAAAGTTTTGTGGCAGGAGTCATTGGTTGTCTCCAAAACTGCTCTTCCCTCTCCTCATTGACTTACTTGCTTATATTCAAATAATGAGTGCAGGTGTGGTCACGTGACACACCCTTCACCAGTGAGAAAGGAAGGGAAGTCAGCTGGGCTTATGGTGTCATTTCCCTCACTCTTTAGAGAAAACACAAGATGGCATATCTCCTGTCCAGATGTCCTCCTGCTTCTTGGCATCGTCTTGAGGGCACAATGCCTGGGGGCTGCTGCAGCCAGCTTGAAACAATGAAGGGGACGTCTGCCAACATACTCCATGTGGGCAGAAGGGAAGATGAAATGTCCTAGTGAATCACTCCACCTTAAAAGTGCCCTGTCTCTGGACTCCCTGCCAGGTGGACCGATTACTGTTGACGTTGTCTTGCACTGGGCTGTCTGTTCCTTGCCGCCAAAAGCATCCCGAAGGAACTGTCCACTGGGATGTTGGGAAGTGCTCTTTTGGAAGATACTAGACCTAAGGCTGCAGAAAGCAATGAAAAACCACAGAGCAGATGAGAGATCATTTGCCAAGGGAGTCTTCTGGAATCCAAGAGGCAAGTTGGTGTCTAGGAAATGCCCCCGGCCCTGAGCACTAAAGAAGGCTTTGCTATGTGTTTGTAGTTCCTTTCATATTCTGTTGTGGCAACAGTATTTAGCTTTGGCTAAGAAGTGACAAGGCACATGAAAATGGGAATCTGGGCCAGAAACCTGTGCCCAAATTTGCCTGACACATAAACACCTGCAAACTAATAAAATATTCATAAGCATCCACAATCACTGTTCCAGGTGCTTACGGGGATATCAACATGTATCAGACAGGAAAGATGGACTCATGCTGGAGAGGCAAGGGGCAGGCATGCAGAACCGAGAACACGAGCAGACACCAGGTGCATTGGCATTTGGAGCAGGAAAAATGAGAGTGTGTGTATTAGAAGTTATTTCAGTAGACTGAAAGGAACCTCCATTCTATCTGAGGACTTGCTTCTATCCCACTGGACCAAGAGCCCCCTCCCTGGATTGCCAGTGCCACAGTCTGATACATGGAGGAATCTGGGAAACAAGGCCAGAGACTAGAACTATTGCAGGGCTGGCTGGTTCACTGATGCAGAGGACGTGATGTCTCCCTGGACAAAGAACACACTAGCTCTTTGCTGGGGGTGTGAGTCGAAATGGAAGTTCATATAGCTGTCTTGTTGATGGGCCCCTGAGGGCAAGCTCCGAAACACCAGGTCCCTGAATGATAGCATGTTGTCCTCACAGGATAACAGGGCACCCACATGTAGCCAGGCAATGTACGTTTTTGTAGACTCAAGGAGTTTCATTCAGTCGATCAAAATCGCTTATTGAGCACCTGCTATGTGGGGGCCCTGTGCAAAGTCAGATCCCTCGTGCTCACTCCTGCAGTCAGATGAGGGAGTGGCTCCTACATGACATAGGCAGAAAGGGAATATTGAATCAGCCCTGCAGGAAGTATGGGGAGATTTTTCCAGAAGAGGGAATACTTGAGCAGAGTTTTAGAGGACAAGGAGGTGTTACCATACTCAGATTTCTCATATGAGGATATTTT